TTCTTTAAAATATGTTTAACAATGTTGAGAGGCGCCTGGGTGGCTCAGTTGGTTGAGCATCTGCCTTCAGCTCAGGTCATGATCCCAGGGTCCTGGAATCTAGTCCCACATGGGACTTCCTACTCAGCAGGGAGTCTGCTTCTTCCTCTCCCTCTGCCACTCCCCTTACTTGGGCTCTATCTCTCTCTCTGACAAATAAGTAAATAAATAAAATCTTTAAAGGAAATAAATAAATTAAATTAAAAATGTTTAACATTGTTGAGGATTCTATTTTAAATAATTGTGAATGTTTCTAGAGCTTAAAATCAGAGGACCCTTGTAGCAGTTCAGGTGAGGTACAATTAAGGACTTCACTGCAGTGAAATATTAAACTGTAAATGTCCTTCACCCTGTAACTATAAATTCAGAGAGTTGTAGATTTAGAGAAGAGCCAGCAAACTGTTAGAGATGCATTTCTGCATGAACTGTCTGGAGGGATGGGACTGTGCCAAGAAGGAAGGTGAGAGCCAAAACAAACAGAGAAAATTATCTGGATATATTAGGAGAAGAAGCTGTAAAAATTTGACTAGTATGCATAATTAGGTATTGATGGTTTCATTTAATCATCCCTGGTCCCTTTCATTTGATGTGGACAGTGGCTACCTAGAGGGAGAGTAACAATTATTTATTTTTTTATTTTTATTTTTTAAAAAAATATTTTATTTATTTATTTGACAGATAGAGACACAGCGAGAGAGGGAACACAAGCAGGGGGGAGTGGGAGAGGGAGAAGCAGGCTCCCCGCGGAGCAGGGAGCCCTATACGGGGTTCAATCCCAGGACCCTGGGACCATGACCTGAGCCAAAGGCAGACACCCAACGACCGAGCCACCCAGGCACCCCACAATTTTTTTTTAAATGAGAAAAATTTGATTCCTCATTTCAGAAAAGATTATTCTTGTATGGCTACTCTACTGAAGAAATGATTTGTTCAAAAGAATTCTAGGTACAGACACCGTCTTTGGGGTGATCCGTAGTGGACGTTTTGAGGGCAGCTGACCTGCAGCCTGTGCGCCCCGGACTGCCTTCTGTGGAAGCCTGAGCCGGCCGTGTAGCTTTCTCCCTTTGTCTCATAACCATGTCCACCAACGAGAATGCTAATTCACCAGCTGCCCGCCTTAACAGATTCAAGAACAAGGGGAAAGACAGTACAGAAATGAGGCGGCGCCGAATAGAAGTTAATGTGGAGCTGAGGAAAGCTAAGAAGGATGACCAGATGCTGAAAAGGAGAAACGTAAGCTCGTTTCCTGATGATGCTACCTCTCCACTACAGGAAAACCGCAACAACCAGGGCACTGTAAATTGGTCTGTTGAGGACATTGTCAAAGGCATAAATAGCAACAATTTGGAAAGCCAGCTCCAGGCTACTCAAGCTGCTAGGAAACTGCTTTCTAGGGAAAAACAGCTCCCCATAGACAACATAATCCGGGCTGGTTTGATTCCAAAGTTTGTGTCCTTCTTGGGCAGAACTGATTGTAGACCCATTCAGTTTGAATCTGCTTGGGCTCTCACTAACATTGCTTCTGGGACGTCAGAACAGACCAAGGCCATGGTAGATGGAGGTGCTATCCCAGCATTCATTTCTCTGTTGGCATCTTCCTATGCCCACATCAGTGAACAAGCTGTGTGGGCTCTAGGAAACATTGCAGGTGATGGTTCAGTTTTTCGAGACTTGGTTATTAAGTATGGTGCAGTTGACCCACTATTGGCTCTCCTTGCAGTTCCTGATATGTCATCTTTAGCGTATGGTTACTTACGTAACCTTACTTGGACACTTTCAAACCTTTGTCGCAACAAGAATCCTGCACCCCCATTAGATGCTGTCGAGCAGATTCTTCCTACTTTAGTTCGTCTCCTGCATCATGATGATCCAGAAGTATTGGCAGATACCTGCTGGGCCATTTCCTACCTTACTGATGGTCCAAATGAACAGATTGAAATGGTTGTGAAAACAGGAGTTGTGCCCCAGCTTGTGAAGCTTCTAGGAGCTACTGAATTGCCCATTGTGACTCCTGCGCTTAGAGCCATAGGAAATATTTTCACTGGGACAGATGAACAGACTCAGGTTGTAATAGATGCAGGAGCACTTGCTGTTTTTCCCAGCCTCCTAACGAACCCCAAAACTAATATTCAGAAGGAAGCTACATGGACAATGTCAAACATCACAGCTGGTCGCCAGGACCAGATACAGCAAGTTGTGAATCATGGATTAGTCCCATTCCTCATTGGTGTTCTCTGTAAGGCAGACTTTAAGACACAGAAGGAAGCTGTCTGGGCTGTGACCAACTATACAAGTGGTGGGACAGTTGAACAGATTGTATACCTCGTTCATTGTGGCATAATAGAACCATTGATGAACCTCTTAACTGCAAAAGACACCAAAATTATTCTGGTTATTCTGGATGCCATTTCAAACATCTTTCAGGCTGCTGAGAAACTAGGGGAAACTGAGAAACTAAGTATAATGATTGAAGAATGTGGAGGTTTGGACAAAATTGAAGCTCTACAAAACCATGAAAATGAGTCTGTGTACAAAGCTTCATTAAACTTGATTGAGAAGTATTTCTCTGTAGAGGAAGAGGAAGATCAGAATGTTGTGCCAGAAACTACCTCTGAAGGCTATACGTTCCAAGTTCAGGATGGCACTCCTGGGACTTTTAACTTTTAGATTGTACAGCTGAGGCAGAAAGTTGTTTGTTGTGTACTCTGTTTGGGAGAAGTTTGTCTTACTGTTTCTCTACTAAGAACTCTTTTTAAATGTGTTTTGTTATTGTAGCACTTTTTACAAGGAAACTCTACTTGACCAGTTCCAAACTGTACAACCTGTATGAAGCTCCTCCTCTCAGTGGGTTTCTTATTTCTATGTGGAATCTCCTCTCTTGCAGTGTCCTGTAAATAAAGATTAAATTCAAAAAAAAAAAAAAAAGAATTCTAGGTACACACATGAGAGATAGTTATGTAAATAGGTATTTGGGTTGATTGAATTCTATTTTGGGTCATATAGACAAGATGGTGCATCTGAATCATGCTATAAAATCAGATTCCAAAAACAAGTAAGACTGACTCACCTAGTTCTGGAGAATTTCCCTGGGTCCATTCTTATCATCATTTCCTGCGCTCCCGAAGATCCCCTCATAGATGCATAAAACTTTCAACTGGGCTGGGAAAAAAGAAATAATAACTCCAGTCTTGTGTTCTAAGGTAATGATTGTGAAGATAATCCCAATGAAGACTGATAGTAAATGCAAAATGCAGGAATGCAAACTTGCATCTCCCCTGTGTTCTTGGTAAAAATCAAAACATGTATGTCTATGGGCAAGAGGTAAATAGACTACCAGACATGAAAACACTGTTTACAGTCTGTAATATTATGTTGTTTTATAACTAAGACATATTGGGAAAATAGGTATGTTGAATGTACCCACATCCACAGACACAAAGATTAGAAGTCCTTAATACTTGGAATCTCACACAAATGTCCAGGGAAACAGGGAAATGAAAACTAGAGCACTCGATCAATACATATTTGATTGTCTAGCATGTGCAGACAGTGGTGGGAGCTAGAAACAAATGAGGGATGTGTGAGCTCAGTGCTCATGCACTGCTCCTCTGAGTGTGGACCGTTCACACTCACATGCAGCTAACTACCAAATAAAGTAAAACTGATCCGTGCTCTCTTTGATGTATCATCCAACAGGCACGGGATCGCGGAGGAGAGAATAAGGGAAGTGTAAAAAGGTTTCAAAGGAAAGGTGGCGATTGTGTCATTTTCTTGACACGTGATGGGGGAGGGGCTTTTGTTCACTCCTCTCTCCCCCCTACTTGTGGTTGGCCATGCCCATGAACTCTTAGACATGTCATCTCATTTTATTCTCATGACTGACCTACGAAGGTGGTAGAATTATTTTCACTTTTACATAGGGGAAACCCCTTTGAAAGGGTTTGTACATTTGTAAAACCTCTCCCCTTGAGTTCTGGAACTTCCCAGACTGAGACGGCTCCTCTCTTTTTCCTCTCCAGACATCAGGCTGCTCTGCAGGTACCCAATTTGGGCTAGGGTGAAATCACCTTGGCATTCCACTAACTTCAGTTTTAGGTTTTACACAATTTTGGGGTAAGGACAGCTGTTTGCAGGGGTGGGGTGGGTTGTTGTTTTTTTTAATTAGCCTTTATTCATCCAGTGCCCTGGTCACTCTGTGTAATAAGTTAGGTGGTCAGGTAAGCTTGCAAGTGTGCCTTTTTAAGGACCTCACCTAGCAGCAGAGAAAATTAAGCCTTGGAAAGAATTTGGCTCAACAGCCAGTCATATGCCTTGCTTTACAGCATACCCAGCCAATATAGGGAGGAGGGTGAGCGTGTGTGGAAAAAGATAGGTTAAGAGATTAATTTTTAAGCACTAAATATTTATTGACAGAATATCTCTCCAGGCAGTGTTCACATGCTTAGAACTGAAGCTTTTAACTTGGCAGTGCTGTTTAAGCAAACAAAGCCAGTCAGTTGAACGCAATGATTAACAGAAGTTGGGGAGCTGACACGGTTGCCAGCTGTTGGCCTGGAGAAGAGCCTAGGGTAGAAGTCTTAGGGGGATCACTTGCGGAATGCTGACCTCACCCTTCGGTGATTTTACCGCGGAGATAGGTGGCTGCATCAGAATCAGAATCTGCCCGAGGCCGCTTGTTTTTGTGTGGTAACAGGTTGCAGGTTAACAGGAGCCAGAGCAAAGCAAATCCAAGGGAGCTACTTCAGAGATGTGTCAGAGAAAGGTGGAAATGAAACAGTGGTGAATGAGCAGGGAAGGAAGACAGCAAAAGGACAAAACGGTCAACAGGAAGGGCACACAACCACTGATCAGAATTGCGTCTACCAAGAGGATGATTTATGGATTCTGGAGAAAATGTAAGTTAAATATATCTACATTCTGATCGGCTCTCGAGAGACATCTCCCTCACTTTCTGGTCTTGAATGATGGTCTCTTGGAAGCATTGTCTTTTTACCGTGTCTCTTATCACTGCCCTGATTTTTGTCTTTGTTTACAATAACGAGTTATGGGAGGAGAAGCATTTTCTGAAGGCATCTCTGTCCAATGCTTCACTGTTAGCAGAAGTCTGTCATCGGATTTTTAAGGGGAAGGTTTTTTACCCAAGAGAGAATGCATTGAAAACCACCCTCAGTGAATCTACCTGTTACGAGTACATGGCTCAAAGTCACTATATAACAGAAACACTATCGGAAGAAGAAGCGGGGTTCCCTTTGGCATACACGGTGACCATCCACAAAGACTTTGGCACTTTTGAGAGACTCTTTAGGGCAATTTACATGCCCCAAAATGTCTACTGTGTTCACGTGGATGAGAAGGCGACAAATACATTTAAAGATGCAGTGAAGCAATTACTGAGCTGCTTCCCAAATGCTTTCCTGGCTTCCAAGATGGAGCCAGTTGTCTATGGGGGGATCTCCAGGCTCCAGGCTGACCTGAACTGCATCAAAGACCTCGCGGCGTCCGACGTGCCCTGGAAGTACGCCATCAACATGTGTGGACAAGACTTTCCCCTGAAAACCAACAAGGAGATAATTCGGTATCTGAAAAGCTTTAAAGGGAAAAATATTACCCCAGGGATTCTACCCCCCGGTCACGCTATTGGACGGACTAAATTCATCCACCAGGAGCTATTAAGCAAAAAAAATTCCTACGTGCTTAAAACAACAAAATTGAAAACTCCACCTCCTCACAACATGACCATTTACTTTGGCACTGCCTATGTGGCCCTCACAAGGGAATTTGCCAACTTTGTCCTCCAAGATCAGCATGCACTTGACTTGCTTTCCTGGTCCAAGGACACTTACAGCCCTGATGAACATTTCTGGGTGACCCTCAATAGGATCCCAGGTATGTGTGTCTCTTAACTTTTGTTCTTATGGGTAAACACTGCATGGTCGATACTGAATGAACTGCTTTAAAAAATAGTAAAAAAAAAAAAAAAAGGTTAACATTTCAAAGATCTTTGCAGTTTTAAATGTTAATTAAAAAAATCTTTATAGCAGTTCTGCTCACCGATGTCACTCATGATAAGGCTCATGTCCATTTTACAGATGAGGAAACTAAGGCATAGGGATTAGCAGGGCAGAGGTAGAGCTCAACCCTCTGACTCGATTTTGCTGCTATGTCAAACTGCCTTTCTGGACCCACAGACCAACATCAGATATGTGCTGTAGCCTTGAGATAGGGCAAAGGACTGAGGAAAAGCCGGCTATGCCATTGAAAGACTAAACCCAATTCTCCTTTAAGTGTGATGTCATTTACAATCAGGAATAAGTATTATAAAGTAAATTGGAATGGCAATTTGAACATTTTAATAATACTTTCACTCCTGTCAAAGCTCCAATAGCTAAATTCACATGCTTTCAAAATGGGAGCAGCGTACGACTTTAAAACTTTTTATTTGCAAGCTCTTTCCTGGAATTGAATCAGAAATTTAGAGCACCTTAAAGGTTTCTAGACCAGTACCTTCATTTTATAGACAAAGAAACTTCAATGGGATTGTGTGAAGTCCTCAAGCTACCCAGCTAGTGAGCGATCGTGCCAGTGATATAAACCGGGTCTCCTGAGCCTGATGTTCTTTTGATTTCAGTTAGATCTCAGTCGTTACTAAATTAACTGCACCTTTCCTTTGGCCCAAGTTCTAAATGATTTGAATGATCTCAAGTTGTTTTTAGTGAACGGATTCAGTTCTGCTAGTTCAATTCAGAATAAAAATTCAGATTCACAGTTCAAGGGAAAAGTAACTTGAATCAATTTGAGCATCAGTCATGGTTTCTTGAGATTAGTGGTTCAACCCTGGATGCATACTACATTCACCTGGAGCTTTAAAAAATACATAAGGTCAGGCCCCATTTCCCACAGGGCCTGACTTCTGGGGTGGGCCTCACCTTAGGTATTTGTTCTGTCTCTGGGTAATTCTCAGGGACAGTCAGGGCTGTGAACCATTGCAGATGCTTGTTTTAGATGTTGTTATACAAAACTTCATAGACTTAGAATGCCTTTTTTTTAACCACTTGAAAACAACCTCTCATTTATTTTTAAGATTTATTTTTAAGTGAGGTATAATTAGCATATAACATTATATTAGTTCCAAGTATACATACAGCATGACCTGCTATTTGTAGATATTGCAAAATGATCACCACTCTAAATCTGGTTAGCATCCATCACCACGTAGAGTTGCAATTTTATTTTTCTTGTGATGAGAATTTTTTTGTATGTGTGATGAGAACATTTAGGAACAGCTTTCTTGAAAATAATAATAATAATAATAATAATAATAATAATAATAATAATAAAGAGCTTTCTTAGCAATTTTCAAATATACTGTCAGAGAGGAAAAAATTTACCTCTTCTTTTCAACGTTATTCTGTCTGGTCTAAGAATTCAATTGACATGAGATGAATTAACAGGAGGAAAAAAACCCGAAGTTTAATTACTTGTGTGCAGAGAACCAATAATGAAAGTACGACCCAAAGAAATGATGATGGCATCTAGCTTTTATACATTTTAAACAAAGAGACATAAATCTGTGAGAAATTGACAGGACAAAGAAAACTTATGGTTGGGAGCCTCAATTACTAAGAAATTCTAAACAGGATTTGGGCTGGGGTAATAAATTAGTAAAAGTACCAAGGTTTGTTTCTCCATTCTTCTCGGCTCTGAATTTCCTACCTCTGGTGAGAAGGATGTCCCTTTATCTCCTGATACAGGGAGTGTAGCTTTCCACGGGAGATTTATTTCCTGCTTTCTGGAGACAAAAGGTGGGGGGAGGGTCAGGATGTTGCTCTTGTGCGGGCTCTTTTCTTTTCTTTTCTTTTCTTTTCTTTTATTTAAATTTTACTTAGCTAACATACAGTGCAATATTGGTTTCTGGAGTGGAAATCAGTGATTCATCACTTACAAACAACACCCAGTGCTCATCACAAGAAGTGCCCTCCTTAATCCCCATCACCCATCTAGTCCATCCCCCACCCACCTCCCTCCAACAACCCTCAGCTTGTTCCCAGTGGTTAAGAGTCTCTTATGGCTTGCTTCCCTCTCTCTTTTTTCCCCCCTTCCCCTATGTTCCTTTGTTTTCCTTTTTAAATTCTACAAATGAGTAAGATCATATGATATTTGACTTTCTCTGACTGACTTATTTCACTTAGCATAATACCCTCTAGCTCTATCCACATTGTTGCAAATGGCAGGATTGCATTCTTTTTGATGGCTGAGTAATATTCCATTATATATAGATGTGTATATATATGATTTTTATATTTATATATGTATATATGAGATATTTATATTTATATGTGTATATAAATATGAGACTTTCATATTTATATATGTATATATATGAGATTTATATATTTATATACTTATACACATATAAATCTCACATCTTCTTTATCCATTCATCAGTCAATGGACATTTGGGCTCTCTCCATAGTTTGGCTATTGTTGATAATGCTAGTAATGTAAACACTGGGGAGCACATACCCCTTCAAATCTGTATTTTTGTATTATTTGGGTAATGCACTGTCTCTTTCTTAAGTAACTTTAGTTAAAAAAGGTGGCACATTTTTGGGGTGGGCTGCCCTTGGGCCCCACAGTATAATACAATATTATTAACTATAGTCACCATGTTGTACATTACATCTCTATGACTTATTTATTTTAAAACTGGAATTTTGTAGGGGCACCTGGGTGGCTCAGTCATTAAGCATCTGCCTTCAGCTCAGGTCATGATCCCGGGGTCCTGGGATTGAGCCCCACATCGGGCTCCCTGCTCAGCGGGAGGCCTGCTTCTCCCTCTCCCACTCCTCCTGCTTGTGTTCCTTCTCTCACTGTGTCTCTCTCTGTCAAATAAATAAAATCTTTAAAAAAACAAAACAAAACTGGAAGTTTGTAACTCTTGACCACCTTTACCCATTTGACCCCCCATCCCCCATCCCATCTCTGGAAACCATCAATTTGTTCTCTGTATTGTGAGTGCTTTGTGTTTTTTTTCCCCCCAGATTCCACATATAAGTGAAATCATACAGTATTTGTCTTTCTTTGTCTGACTTATTTCACTTAGCATAATGTCTTCGAGGTCCATTCATGTTGTCACAAATGGCAAGATGTCATTCTTTTTTATGCTCAGTAACATTCCATTGTATATGTATCACATCTTCTTTATCCATTCATCTACTTACGGACACTTAGGTTGTTTCCATGTCTTGGCTATTGTAAATAGTGCTGCAATGAACAGGGGGTGCCATATCTTTTTCATCTAGTGTTTTTGTTTTTTCAGATAAATACCCAGAAGTAGGATTGCAGGATCATAGGGCAGTTCTATTTTTTTTAAGGTTTTATTTATTCATTTGAGACAAAGAGATACAGAGAGAGAGCATGAGCAGGGGGAGAGGCAAAGGGAGAGGCAGAGGGAGAGGGAGAAGCAGACTCCCCACTGAGCCGGGAGCCCAATGTGGGGCTCAATCCCAGGACCTGGAGATCATGACCTGAGCTGAAGGCAGATGCTTAACCATCTGAGCCACCCAGGTGCCCCAGGGCAGTTCTATTTTTAACTTTTTGAGGAACCTCCATACTGTTTTCCAGAGTGGCTGTACCAATTTACATTCCCACCAACAGTGCGAGAGGGTTCCTTTTTTTCCCACATCCTCGCCAAGACTTGCTATTTCTTGTCTTTTTAATAATAGTCATTTTAACAGGTGTGAGGTGACATCTCATAGAATACTTTTTAAATCTGCGGATTTCCAAAAGTTGGAAGGGGTAATGTTGTAGTGATAAAAGAAATCAGGACTCAAGAAAGTAGGGGGGGAGTCATGACCATATAATTGTTTATATGGAATTCTAGTGTCCAGAATGAGGGAGGAATAACCCCACTTCTGACTTACATGTTGCCTGGATCAACCATGATGTTGACTGTTTAGGTATGAGCACCATACTTTAAGCAAAGATGTTAACAACACAGTTTCCAAAGATAGCAGCCAAGAAGGATAAAAGACCAAATCCCTTTTTTTTTTTTTTCTAGAAAGAACCAAGGCAAACAAAAAGGTTATTCAATCTGAAAAAGATTTGAAAAAGGATCACTGTCTTCACAAAATTAAAAGATTTGCTCATTTGGAAGAAGAATCTAGGGTCAGTGGTGGGAGATTTAAAAACCTGTCAATCTGGAATTAGAATGGGTATCTTCCTCAGTGATGAACAAGTAAAAGGGATAGGTAGAAACAGAGAAGGAGAAATGCAGTGAAGGCAGCTCATTTATCAGGTGTTAGATAAGATGGCCTGTGAGTCTCTTCCACTCTGAGATTCCATGATCCTAAAGGATGATTCTAATCAGTTTGTTGAACAGAAACTTAAGGCTAACACCCTGGCTTCTCAACCTGGTTTATCTATTGGAAATGGATTTTTACACATCTGGTTATCAGTTACAGATCAGAGAAGCAATGGAAAACCATTGCACTGCTGCAAAACTTAGAAGAGTGAGCCCTTGAAGTAGTTTCTGTCTTGTATGTATGAAGGATCCTTTTTTTTTTTTAAGATTATTTATTTATTTATTGGGCAGAGAGGGAGAGAGAGGGGAAGGAGGCGAGAGGGAGAAGCAGGCTTCCCTGCTGAGCGAGGAGCCCAATATGGGGCTCGATCCCAGGACCCTGGGATTATGACCTGAGCGAAGGCAGACGCTTAACTGACTGAGCCACCCAAGCACCCCTGAAGGATCCTTTCTGGAAGCCGGTGCCCCCTCACTGGTAAAGCTGGCTCATGAAGGACCTGGGTGAGCCTTAGTAGAGAGCTTGGTCATGAGGAGGGAACGGAACTGAAACCTAAGCGTTTGTCTTATTTAACTATCACTCCTGCTATGTGGAAATCTGAGTCAATTCTGTTTTGAGGGCACTTCTAGTTGATGTATTAATTGGCTGCTTGATTGTTTGGGACATTTTAAGGTTTTTCTAGTTGACTGCAGTGATTGGGGGTTTATTAGGATTCTCAAAGAAGTAACAGGGCCAGGACAAAAAATCTCACAGACAAAATGGCCTCATGGGGAGCTAGAACAGCACCACCCAATAGAAATATAACGTGAGCCATATATGTAATTTTAGATTTTCTAGTAGCCACATTAAAAGAAATAAAAACAAACTGGGTGTTATAGGCAACTGATAAATTATTGAACATCTGAAACTGATGACGTACTATATGTTGGCTGATTTGAATTTAAATAAAAAAAATTTAAACATATAAAAAATAAAAACAAAGAGGGGAAATTAATTTAAATAATATATTGTATCTAACCGAGTATACCCCAAATATCATTTGTACGTGTGGCTGGTGTACTCGCAGCAGGTGTCCTCCCCACTCTGGGTAAAAAGGCGGGACAACAGCGAAGGCATCCCAGCAGCATCGAGGAGTCAGCCACGCTTGGGTCTCAGTGTGGTCCCCTCTGCTGCTTTGGCTTTGCCTGCTTCCTTTTCTGAAATTCTCACCCCGGCTTCAGCGCTTCACTTGCTAGTGCTGCCCACTGCCCTATGGCTCGTGCTCTTTGCATCTTCCCCCTCCACTGCCGGGTGCCTTGGGGTTCGGGGGACGTCGCGTGGCCCCTTCCGATATGCGCAGAGAGTCTTGCTTTGGGTCAGGTAGGAACTGCAGGATGAGTCCCTGTTCTCATTTGACATCAGTCATAGGCACACTGCCTGCGCTGTACATGGCTGCCCTTCATTTAGGTCTCAAGCTGTTCCGGTCAGCTGTGGGTTAAAGCACGAAACAAAACATGCCCCGCCCCGTCCATAAGAGGTGCCTTAAGAAGTGGCAGGTCCTCTGGAAGCCTCAGAAGGTAAGAATTTGTGCATAGTCCACAGGTGAGGGTGCCCATGAGGACAGAAGGGTCACAGAGAAGGAGTTCACCTATGGTCTTTTTATTATTATTTTATTATTATTATTATTGAAGATTTTATTTATTTATTTGAGAGAGAGCACGTGTTCATGAGCAGGGGGAGGGGCAGAGGGAGAGGGAGAAGCAATCAGGCTCCTTACTGAGCAAGGAGCCTGACTCGGGGCTCTGTCCCAGGACCCTGAGATCACGACCTGAGCCAAAGGCAGACACTTAACCGACTGAGCCACCCAGGTGCCCCCGCTTATGTTCTTAAAGAGATTTCTCCCTCCCCAAATAAATAAAAATTAAAGCAAATATAAAGAGGTTGCCCAATAAACTTCACTAGCTGTTGTGAAATTAGGGCTTCCTGCCCTCCCTGCTTCGCCTCTGTGCCTCCATCTTTCCCCCACTTTTCTCTAAACTCTCTCCTCCCCATCTCTTCCTTCACCCAGACTGCAACAAGATGGCAGCCTCTTAATCCTCTGACTCACCTGGGCATGATTTCCAATTAGGGAAAAGATCCATTTGTAGGCCCCAGGCGCAAGTTCTTGGCCTCCCACTTTGCTTCTGAGTTTCTCCTCTTGTGTGCGTCTGGCTTGCACGGTTCCACCTGGGTTAGGGAAACACCAGTGGGTGTTATGTTCATCGAGTGTTCCTCGGATTTAAAGATTTAAAAACTGACCAATGATTTCTGCCTCACTTGCTACAAAGGAGTATTTGGAATATGATTCCGTGGGAGTTTATTTGAAATTCATATTAAAATCTGAATGAGTGAAAAAAGAAACCCGACCGCAGGTTTTGTTGGAGAGGGGAGGAGAAAGGAATGCCAAGGTGCATGAGGGAAAGGAACAGAGAAAGGAAGAGAGCTGAAGATAGAGGACCTGGAAGGCAGACTCCCTGCTTCTCATTTTTCTTTCCCCCTGGAGCCAGCCTACGGACCAGCCCTGATGGTTTTCTGTGTCCTACTTGTACCTCTGTGCCCTTGATAGGGGAAGCTTGCTGCTGTAGAGTCCATAATAGAGTGACTCTACCATTATCTGCGATGGCTAATCTCTTTATTTTCTATCTTTGTAGAAATGCAATCAGAGGTGCCAGTCTCTTGAGAGACGCAACTACAGGAGTCAGGCAAGAACAGATCTGAATCATGGTCCTGGGAACTCATCCTTTGGCCCCAGTGATTTGGCTGGGATCTTGCTATGCCCCGAGGGAATTTATGTTCCTCAAATACATTATGCTCACAGAGCTTCCAAAAAAGCCACTAGGTGTATGGGCAGACTTGTGGCTGGGGCTGGTGGAAGTCTTACTATTAGCTTGAACAATATTTTTTTTATGTCTGCTAGAAAATACCAATTTTGTCAACTTTCAGGAAAGGGAATCGGTGAATGGGGCCCCCATGAGTTCTTTTCAGGGAAATAGGGTCTCTTGAGAAGGTGATAAATGGCATGACACACTTCACCTTTACGTAGATAGATTAGCAAGGAAATAGTGGTATTAGTTTTATTTCTACACAAGAAATGAGGGCAGGACAGGGGGAAGTGGTTTGCAACCTTTGAATGATCTTATCTGTGCCATACTTTTATCTGCCCTCCTTCCCTAGTCACTGAATTTGTTCTTGGAGCATTCTGTGACTCATACTCTATCCTTACTTTCCTCTTTATCCTTCCTCACTAAGTTAGACAATTCTCTCCTGGTTCTTTTCTCTCAAGAGGGTGACCTGTATTATCTTGACGGTTACACCCTGATAGGACTAAGGTCACCTAGACGTTCAGTGTCTTTTATGGTTTAAGTTATGGAATAGTAGGCTTACTTGCTTATGATGACTCAGCAGAGCCAAGGACCACTGGAGAGCTCACTTTTTTGAGTTTTTAAACTCAAAATAATGATAATTTCTGCAAATCAGAAATTGCCCTAAGATGCAGTTTAGTTTATTTATATGCATTTTACATATCCACATATATTACTGTCAAAAATGGTTTGCATCATAGTGCTGACATATATGACCAAGTTTGCTTTGTTAATTAGAACATCTTCTGGGATTTCTGAGGAATAAGCGGAGACATGACCCTAGATTAATTAAATTAAGATATTAATATTAGATTTAATTAATTTAATGAAGATAGTAATACTTAATATTCAGAGATAGCATTTCTTCCTGTGGTGACCCATCTTAATTTTAGACTGAGGAAGATAAAAGTAGATTGACGAGAAAGAAAAAGGAAGGGTTAGGCCTAACTGAACTAGAGTCAATGGTCAGTTAGAATGCATTTCAGACTTCAGTGGTCTGTGGAGTGTGTTGAATAAATGATCTAAAGATCTGTTTACTCTGTGGAGTCAGAGGGTGGCCTCCATTTGCTGGTGGGATTTAAAAGCAGACTGTCTTAGCTCTGCCACCTACGCTTTATAACTTTGGGCAAGATGCCTAATTTCTCTGAGACTGAGTCTTCATCTTATCTTGAAGATAAAATATCTCGTTGTGTTGGAAGGATCACGTTGTAGGAACTCAATGTCCAGAAAGAGGGGAACAGACTAACTTCTTGGATGTCGGTTTTTGAGGTTTTAGTGTTACTATTCTAAAACTTCTGTGTGTGACCAGAAAAACTCATGAATATTTGGTTTTGAAGGTGCAGGGATAATATTTTGCTAGAAATGGGTATGGGGCCCACGAGATGACCCCCAGCTGTAGCTTTTCATGGCCATGTCACATGTGTAGAGCCTTAAGTAGTTGGTTTCTCTTTCCTCTTATTAGGAAGTAGTGTTCTGGGACTAGTTGAAAGCCTCTCACTCTGCCAAGCTTCTGTTGCTCTAGATTGGTCCAAAGACAAATAGTCTCCCCACCCTTGCTGGTGCTGTCCCATTGTTCTGGAATGTTCTTGACTCTCACTGCCCAGTCTAGACATTTCTTCAGATCAAGCAGCCGCCCTCCCCATGTACTTTACTCCTAGTTGGATTATAACGTCTCCTCCATGCATCTTAATTTATTGCGTGGATCCCAGTCAGTCACCCACCACATGCCCCCCAAATATGAGAATGTGAACTGAATGACTGGCACGAAGACTGAGACACTTGCCTAGCCTTATCATTCTGTGGGGTTCCCATATCATGTTGAATGAGGAGCAAAGGAGTGGGAGAGAGAAGTCCTACTGTGCTTGTCTAATACAATATTTTCTACAAACGAGGAAAACGCTTCTCAAGCTTTGCAGAAAGTTTATTTTCTTTTCAACTCTGGTTCAGCTTTGAAGCAGTCCACAGGGCAGGACCTGTCGCCCCACTTCCCACCTACTTTTCCAAAGGATACGCCTATGCTACATCTATTTGAAAACACTCTTGGGAGTGCAGTTGGCCTGTGGGAGTTATTAGTCATCTGATTGCTAAGGTCAGCATAAATCACCGTTTATGCATTTTGAAGACTGAAGTTGTAGGTTTTGGAAAAGTGGAATCAACAATTAAGGGAATTTGCCATAGTCATGTTGGCCTTGAGAGGCTTTGTTTTAAAATATCTGGGGGGAAAGGGGACCTGGGTGGTTCAGTCAGTTAAGGGTCCGACTCTTGATCTCAGCTCAGGTCTTGATCTCAGGGTTGTGAGTTCAAGCCCCAGGCTGGGTGTGGAGCCT